ACATCTGTGTGAAAGTGTGTTAATCATACGCTGGAATCTGTAATTACACCATTTACTTAAATAGAAAGTTAATTAGCTGTAAAGATGTTACATTAATATATGCAAAAGGCCATGTAGAAGTTTATGTGGCAGAATCAGAAGCTAGAATATAGCTTAATTGAAAATTAAGACTACTTTGTAGAATGAGTTGCCTTTTAAATGTGAAGGACCTTACATGAACTTTTTACTAAATCCCAGTATTTCCCAAATCTGTGTGCTACATTGTAGTTCTGTATTTAAAATCAATGAGAAGTATTTATATTCTAAGTTCCCTGGTTTGAGTATAGTTAGAGTTTCAACTGTAGTATTATGAATATACAGAACTTTATTTAGAAATGTTTATACTACTTTAGGTAAACAGGAGTAATATGCCTGTATGTATTTGAATTATTTTATATTCAAATAAAGTTTCTCTGAACTTCTGTAAAATATGTACTAAGCATTTTGTCTGCAAGCTGCTGCTGCTTCTGTCATGCTGAAAGGTAGCACTTCTGCCTCCCTTCTTCTTTGTGTGTTGCTGTAAAGCTCCAGCTGACTGCAGTCAGAGCCAAGGAGAAAAACATGTCTTTCCTTTGATGTGAAGAAAACAGTGTGGGTTGATCTTAACTGGTTTGATGAAGTATTAGTGTCCTTGTCTGATTTCCATGAATGTTGCATTCATTATTTCAGACAAATAAAATTTGCATGTGTGTTTTTCTATGCCAGTATTATTTTCAAGATATTAAAAACATGTTGGGAATACCAATCCCATTAATACAGCACATGCAAGATCAACTTAAGAATGCTACCTGTCTAGCGTTCTTTGAGTATAGCAAATAGGAGGCATCATTACAATTTTGTTTAATTCTTTGGCATAATTCAAGGAAATCCATTCAGATGGCTGTGATTGTTTTTGGAAAAAGCTGCTTTATGCTGATTGCCTGCATGTTTCCTTCCTGATTCTTCAGTACTGGCTATAAAATATTCAAGTTTGGGTCATATATTTTAATGAGAGACAGGCTGTGGTAGCAGAAGTTTTAGTCAGCCCTATGCAAGAGTAATGCACCGCATGGGAGAGTGATAAGTTAATAAACTCCAACAACACCTTTAAATGTAGAACATTTAAGTCTTTATATGTTGAAGTTTATTTAATAAGATTAAAGTGTTTGTTGTTTCTTAAACTGTCTGGGGGAGCAAAAGTGCCAATATGAAAATATGTGATGCAGACTATTACAGTTGTTCATACTGGGGCCTGGACATACAGTGAAATTATCATGATTGAACCAGTTACTTCTTTTCATTGTGAGCAAAACCAGCTGAAATGTTCTCCAAAATGAAGAGGGAATAAGACTATACTTACAATAGTTACTATACTCAATAGAGGTGTAGAAATTTGACCAGTGGAGGTAACATAATTGTGAGTATGAACCTTTATTTGGTGCTTTAAAAAGAGATACTGATACAGTGACAGCAAAAACTTAAATCCCACAGGAAGAAACTGAGAAGTGTGCTACATCAGGCAATTTTTAGTAGCCTAGGAAATACTGGTTATTTACAGGTTACACTGTGACTTTTTGAGCTGTATGTTGCACCACAAATATAAAAGTAGGTGTTCAGGAAGAAAACAGGTTGCACAGTGTAAGACCCTCAGGAGAGTAAGTCATGAGGTATGCCTATAGTTGTATTCCAGTGGGCAAAAGTCCATTGAGGCCCCTTTATTGACAGATGAAAGAGCTAGAATTTCTGTGAAGAATTTAGAAATCCATATAAGTGATGCATAAAACTTGCAGCTGACTAGGAAGGAGACAAAAAGTGCAGAGAATGAGGAAATATTTAAATAGTCTTGTTTTTCTCTTCCTCTGTAATAATTGTACAAGACTTACAAAACTTTTTCTATCAAGCCAGATCCAATTTTCTTTATTAAATTATAGATTTCAATATTTTTGCAATCTCTATTTTATTTCAGGCTTGTGCTTACGCACAGGAATTTATGGTCTTGTAGAACATAGGGTAGTGAAGAAATTTTGCCTTCTGATAGTCATAAAATATTTTGGACAAAAGTTGGTTTGTGGATAATGATAATCAGATGAAAGTTCCCATTTTTAGTCAAATGTCAATATTACAGTAGGTTATGTTTGATTTTTGTTTTCTAAGGCTAATTTGAAAAGAGGCACTTCATATTATCTATAGACTATCAGATATAATACAGGAAAAAGTGGAACTGGTTACTGACCTGCTGACATTTCACATGTATCATCCTTTGTCCTGAGTTTTGTTTATTGTACTGTTTTCCTCTTATTTGCACACTTAGGTTTTCTGAGCTCTCTGCATTCGGAAAAGGAAAAGCCCTCTTTCTCTCAAATTTTTCACAGCTTGCAACTTGAGAAACTCTGATACAGGCTGCAGGAATTTCAGTCATTTTCGATTGTCAGCAGACATGCAGTGAACTCTGCTATATTCTGCTTTTGTCATGCAACTTTAATCTCTTTATGGAGTGATATTTAGCTCAGTGTTAGGGCCTTCTGTAGGTTCCATTTTTGGCAGAGCAAGATCACACTGTTGCCTGTTGCTTGTTGTGGGGATTCAATTGAGACAAGCCAGGAGAGGCTGCAGTAGTGTAAAGAGTGTGGTACCTTCTGGGGCCAGCTGTAATGTTGGGCCCTGCTGGAAAACATTTTCACTGGTTTGGCATTGGCTAAAAGTACCAGGTTCAGGTATTCAAGGAGATCACAGTCAGGTCACGTGGCGGAGAAGAAGGTGTGGTGGTATGCCCGATACATGCATAAGACAAATCAGGGATTGCAGGAAAGGGTGAGATGGATGCTGATAATCTAAGTTTTGTGTTCACTGCTTGGGTCTGATTACCTCTATCACAGTAAGAAAATTCATAGCCACTTGTCCTGGTTTCGGCTGGGATAGAGTTAATTTTCTTCCTAGCAGCAGGCATAGTGCTGTGTTTTGGATTTAGTAGGAGAAGAATGTTGATAACATGCTGATGTTTTCAGTTGTTGCTGAGTACTGCTTATGCTAGTCAAGGACTTTTTCAGCTTCCCATGCTCTGCCAGGCGCACAAGAAACTGGGAGGGGGCACAGCCAGAATAGTTGATCCAAACTGACCAAAGGGCTATTCCATACCATATGACGTCATGCTCAGTATATAAACTCGGGGGGGGGTTGGCCAGGGAGCAGCGATCGCTGCTCGGGAACTGTCTGGGTATCGGTCGTCGGGTGGTGAGCAATTGCATTGTGCATCACTTGCTTCGTGTATCATTATTATTATTATCATTATTATACTGTTATTATTAGCATTGCTATTTTACTTTATTTCAATTATTAAACTGTTCTTATCTCAACCCAGGAGTGTTTCTCACTCTTACTCCTCCGATTCTCTCCCCCATCCCATCGGGGTAGGGGGAGGGAGCGAGCGGCTGCGTGGTGCTTAGTTGCTGGCTGGGGCTAAACCACGACACCACTTTACATAGTACCCTTTTCTTATCTCAGAAAAGTGCTCAGCTTGTTGTACACCTCAGCTAGCGTGAGTCTGGAAGTTTTTAGTCTTTTTATCCACAGTGAGAGATCAACTCTTTTAGCATGACTTTAGCCATTCATCTTCTGTCTTAAACAGCAGGTTTTTCATACCAGAGAAAATGGTGACATTGTTTCATTACCTGTGTACTCTCCAGCACGGCTGGCATGGTTTAGCTCTGCCCTGGATTTACTAACACATTAGAGAGCCTCAGGACTCCTTTCAAACCAGTTCCCTATTGCAGTGATTAGGTTTGTGTATTTTTGCCAAGTGATTTATTCTATATTTTTTCTGGCTTTGTCTTCATCATCTGTTACAGCATTTCTTTTTCTCCCTGCAGTTAATAGTATTGATCTGTTGTGGAATACCGATCCTTTAACAAATGTCCAGTACCAGATAAACTCTGAAGCAGCTCTGAAATGGCACCAGGCAAGAAAAAGCTGTCAACAACAGAAGGCAGAGTTATTAAGCATCACAGAGTTGCATGAACAAACATACCTGACAGGTAGGGTAATATTATCCATCAGTTTTTTTTAAAAGTGCATTATTGTAGCAGTGGCACTTACATAGCATGTTCCATCTTGAAAATGGATATTTGTTCAGTTCTGGTAATAAGTAGATTTAAATTGTTATCCTGAATGATTCAGCTGGAAAAGTTGGACAGATAATGATTATTTTATCTTGATTTAATATTGCCAGAAACTTATGGTAACATAAAAAAAAAATAGAGCAGTTAAGTTATGAAAGCAATAAAGAATGAATGTTGGAATGCAGGAAAATGCAAAATAGTTTGTAAGACAAAGATGCAGATACCAAGATTGCATCATTTTTGTGCTCTACTTGTGTGTACTAGTCAATGTTTTTGGCCTATCTCTTTAAAGCTGTCATATCATCAGTATGTGCTAAAATGTGAAAAAGAAGAAAAAGAACTAATAAACAAAAGGACTTATAATGAGCTTGTTTTATTTTCAATCTCCTTCGATGTTTTTTTTAAAGTAATTTCCAAACTTCTCTGAAAAAATTCAGTCCCGAATTTGTGCTTGAAAACATTTACATTCTATGAGACAGTCTCCTTTTTATTACCTTCTTAGCCTGTGTGCACACATGAAGTAGTCCACTAATTCATCTATTAAATAGATTAGAAAATATTTTGAATATGTTACATCACTTGAATGGTAAACTTTTCTGTGCCATATATTGTACTATGTAAGTTCACAGAATCAGAGAATGGTTTGAGTTGGAAGGGACATTTAAAGATCATCCAGTCACTCCCCCTGCTATGGGCAGAGACACCTGGCACTAGATCAGGTTGCCCAAAGCCACATCTAACCTGCATTGAACACTTCTAATGATGGAGATACACAACTTCTCCGGGCAACCTGTTCCAGTATCTCACCACCTTCATTGTAAAAAATTTCTTTATTATATCTGATCTAAATCTACTCCCTTTCATTTTAAAACTGTTGCCCCTTGTCCTGTCACTCACTACACTCACTACACTCACGGCTGAAAAGTTTCTTTCCACCTTTCTTATAAGCCCCCTTTATATATTGAAATGTTGTGATAAGGTGTCTGTGGAGCCTTCTCTTCTCCAGGCTGAACAACCCCAACTCTCTCAGCCTTTCTTCACAGGAGGGTTGTTCCAGCCCTCTGATAATTTTCACGGCCCTGCTCTGGACCTGCTCCAAAAGGTCTATGTCCTTCTTGTGCTGGGGACCTGATAACTGGATGCAGTACTCTAGGTGGGGTGTCATGAGAGTGGACTGGAGGGGCAGAATCACCTCCCTCGACCTGCTGGCCACGCTTCTTTTGATGCAGCCCAGGATACAGCCCTTCTGGGCTACAAGTGCCCATCGTCGGCTCATGTCCAGCTTTTCATCCACCAGTACCCCCAAGTCCTTCTCGGCAGGGCTGCTCTCAATCCCTTCATTCCCCAGCCTGTATTGATATTGGGGGTTGCCCCAATCCAGGTGCAGAACCTTGCACTTGGCCTTGTTGAACCTCATGAGGTTTGCATGGGCCCACCTCTCCAGCTTGTCCACATCCCTTTGGATGACATCTCATCCTTCTGGCATGTCAACTGCACCACTCAGCTTGGTGTCATCTGCAAACTTGCTCAGGGTGCACTCGATCGCACTATGTCATTGATGAAGACATTTCTTAGTATTGGTCCCAATACAGACCCTAGAGGACATTGAACCATTGACTGTAACTCGTTGGATGCAGCCATCCAGCCAATTCCTTATCCATCTAATAGTCCACCCATCAAGTCCATATTGCTCCAATTTAGAGGGATGATAAATGTATTTTTAATGCTATGAACAGTCTGTTCTGTCTAAACTTTTGTTTTCAATTTAAGGGTTTGGTCAAAACATGGGTCTTTTTTACCGAGTGTGACGAAACTATTGTTGAAACTAATGCTCAAGGGAGCAATCTGGCACTGACATATAGAAGTGAGTTATTAGTAGGTGTGTTTTAACTGCAAACTAGTAGATATTGCTGCCAAATGTATGTGAAAATCAGTTTTTCATTCTACAGCTCTCCTGGCAGAACCAGGATTTCCTGTCATGCTCAGTTCTTGATTGTCTTAATAACAACTTGTTTGTATAGAAGAAGTACTGGAACATGTTAATATGTTGGTGCCAAATCAGGCTCTGGTATGACATTCCATTCCTTTCCAGTGCTTAACTACCCTTCCTTTTAACTTTGCCATGTTCAAGTGCTACCCATAATCATGGTGTCAAAGACAACTAAAATATATAGAGCAAAATTACATACTGGCATGATGCCATTGGTACAAGCAGAAATAGATAATAAATATTGTGCAATGATTTTCAGTGAGCTATGCAGAAATAAATTTAATTCAAAAAAATCAGCAGTCATCCAACTGGGCTTCCAAGTCTTATACGAAAGGCAGAGATAGACAATTGATTAATAATGACTATAAATAATGCTAGAGAATTCAGCAG